TTGAATGGCTTGGAATGCGGAGAGCAGTAGCTACGTCGGCCAAAACAAAGAATACACGGTGCCTAAACCCAGAAAACGACTTTCTTCAATGTATGTTTCGATCAGAGGTTAGGCGAATCCTACTCATATTTTCAATATGATGATTAAGAGAAAATCCCCAACACTTCTACAAAGACTATACACTGCAGCCAATCGGCTTGTAGTATCAAGTTCAGGTCAATGTTATTTCAAGCATACACCCAGCGTACTGCTACGACACCTTCATCATCCAGATACATGAGATTTAAATTCCCTGCTACCACAGTGCTGGCAGCCAAACTCTACACTGTGAAGAGTGCAACATGAGGCCTGCTGGACCCGTGCACACATGTACAATACAGGGTAAATGAAGATGCAGGGAACCAATAAATGTTGCAGGACTCTGTAACTAAACTCCAACATCAAAACTCTACTGAAAGAATCTAAGAAAAAGGGGACCTGTCACTTGGAGTCTTATTCAGAAGGTATAGGAACACACTCTACAATCACTATGTGCATGATTGTAGTATGCTACTTCTCTGAAGTGTGGGAAACTATAAAATAATACAAGTTCATCAGGACAATGAATGTTTATTTGGATATACAAGTTATAAAACACACAAAACTGTTTTGAGAAAAAAATGATTAGGCCAAATTTAAAATTACTGAAATAGTTTACACTAATTTTATGACACCATTCAGAAATCACCATTACTGGTGGTTTAGATACACGGATTGTGCTGATGGCTACATCAAAACAGTCATTAGTTTCAATCTGCATTGCCACAGATGCAGAGGGGGGTGGGGGGAGCGAAGCAACTGGTGTACGTATTTTTATTAAGTAATGAGGAAATCCAACTGCTAACTTTTCATGTTATTCACTAAAAGATGCTGTAAAGCTTCAAAACACAGACCCTGATATGACAGTCACTATAACAGCTTCACTAGGGTACCATTCTGCACTACCAAACCTAATAAAAGTTCATACCATTCTTGGGTCTGAAAAGGAATTCAATCTTGGAGTAACAAACAACAAAGAACATGCACTATGATCCTCAAAAGCTGGTGCCTTTATACAGTAACACATTTCATCAATGAAGAGGAGAGGATGATCGAGTGGAATGCTGAACAAGAAAGTAACAAACAACAAAGAACATGCACTATGATCCTCAAAAGCTGGTGCCTTTATACAGTAACACATTTCATCAATGAAGAGGAGAGGATGATCGAGTGGAATGCTGAACAAGAAAGAAGGGAGGCTGAAAGAAAAGCCTACGAGGAGAAAAGGATGGCAGAGTGTGTTGTGCCCTGAAGGCCGACTCCCGGTAATAAGGTAAAAGAGTATTTAACTTTTTGTATTTTAGGGGAAAATGTTGGTTGGAATAGAATTAGTCTTGGGAAATACTTGTAAGATGTATGAAAGATGATGTAAGAAGGGTTAAGAAACTTCAAGGAATTTCTGCACATGGAGTTAGACGGCCGTTAGCCTTTGACGCGTCGATGTCTTGTCAGCAGAATGACATGATTGAATACCGAACTGCTAACTCTACAGAATCTACATCTGAGTGATGGGGGGACATTTTGGAGGTAAAAAGTGTTAGCCAAATGGCCTAGCAGTAAGGGGCATGTCCACCCCCTTAGGATCCCAGCCAACGGGAGCAGCCACCATTAGATAAGACATCACTGGAGGCGGAACTGCAAACCCCCGGGAAAGTAATGAGTTAGCATGAATAAAGGTATATAACCTGGAGAGCAAATTATTATAAAAAATTATTCTAACAGTAATTTTGGTCAATTGCGGCCGCAGGCCATGTTGGAAGAGGCACCGACTAGACACCAGGCAACGCCATCCGTCTGCAGACTCAACCCAAAGTAAGTGGAACTACTCTTATCGCCATGCTTAATAACTGTGATATTATTAAAGTGTAACTCCTCCAATGGGACATGAGTTAGGAACATTACAACAAGTGTACAGGGTGTAAGAGTGATCCAGAGGTAGACAGGTGTAATGTAGAGCCTGCAGAGGGTGTGTCTAGCCTCAGGGATGTGTATATGTATATGTATGTATGTATGTATATATATATACATATATATACAGTGGTTGAGTAGGACAGGAGAAAGAGGAGACTAGCAACCCGCAACTGGGTGAAAAGAGAGAGAAAGATGAGGTCCAAGAATCGTCTAAGAAAGTGTAATGGTAATCCGACACCAGTTGGCACTTTGTGATATTACTAAAATGTATATAACTGTATATTGCTTGTTTATACTAATATAGGGTAGCACAGGGTGAGGATGTGGGTTTCTGTTGTGTGATTTCCTCCCTTACCACATTTCGCACCTGCGCCCTCCTGCCAAGCCTGGTGAACAGTGTGCCCCTAGCCATGAAGCAACGACAGAGGAAGTAATTTAGCAGTTTCCTTAGCCCACCCCGTGACTGCAGTACAGAAGGCGACAGTGGGATGCCTCCACGCCCCCTGTCGCCACGGCAAAACAGGTGGCGTAACAGAGTGGAAACCTGATCAAGGAAAAAAGGAGGCTGAAAGAAAAGTTGGCCGAGAAGTGACGACAAGGCTGGAAGCCATTCAGACAGATACCAACCTGATGAGAGTGGAGCCTGAAATGGAACACCAAGAGAAGATGGATGACTGGATAGCAGACATGAAGAATGATCAAAAAGAAACCATAGCCTGCCAAGATGCAATGGAGGCCAATCTAGAGAAGATGGCGTGAAATCCAAGAGAAAAGGAGGCCACACTGGAGCAATTCATTTCCTGAGGGCATGCCAAAATGAGAGAATGGCCTGCCAAGAAGCGACTAAATCTAATCCAGAGAAGATAAGGCAAACTGATTGTATGACAGTCATCTTGGAACAGATGACAACCATGACAAAAACTAATCAAGAAAAGATGGAAGCCAAGGATGTGAGAAGAATTCCAGAGGAAATGTAATGTGAGTCAGAACAACGGGAGGTCCCTAAGGAAGATTCCAGAGTGAAATCAGTCAAAGGATGGAATAAGCAGCATAGGGGCTGGAAGCTAGTTGAACGGGGAAAAGGAGAGCCAAAAGAACTGACCCAAGGTGATTGTGGATCATGGTGGAAGTCGGCTGCTGCCTGCAGGAAGGTGTCCCACCATGCAAGAATGGCATGGTGCAAGAGGAATGTCTTCAGGAAAATTAGGACCCAAGAAACTGTGGACCATGGAAGGAACTGGCCACAGCAGGCAGGAGGATGACCCAAAGTATATACGAAAGTGGCAGGCACAGCAGACATGGTCGCAAGAGGTATGACCAGCACAATGTGGTACAGGAAAGCCAGAAATAACAGATATTTGGGAAGAGACATTGGAAGGGCCCAGAATGCAACAACTGCATAAGGAACCGAGGCCTAAGACAGCAGCTACGAGGCAGCAAGCGAATAAATGACCTAGGTGACAAGATGGCTGTTATGTCTAAGCAGAGGGTAACCACAAATGGCATCACAGTGTGGAGCTCAGGACAGCGATCACAGCTTTGAAGTGGTGGAATGCTCAACAAAACCCTATATGAGATTTTCAAAGGGAATACCACGATGGACTGGACACTGTGAATGGGTTCACCCCCTCCAAAGCAGCAGCGTTAGCATTAGAAGAGCAGGAAATGTGGGAGCACCAACCACTCCAGGAGTTATGGCCCCCACTGTTGGGGGGGGGCAAAGAAGAAAACTTTAGATTATGGCGAGAACCTGGACTAACTGGAACCTTATAAGGGAACTGCTGGGGATGAGATGGCCTTAATGAGGGAGCGGTGGTAGCAGTTGGAGAATAGTTTCTACAAGAGGAGAAGACCACGCACAGACGTTGCAAGCATAGCCCTTGGAAAAGAAAGAATGGTGATGCACTGATAGGTTATTTGGGATGAACAGCCTTAAGGATAGAGCAATGTAACACATTTGATTAACGCGCTGCCAGGCAGCAGCTCTGTAAACACAGTATATTATGCAACAATAGAAAAGCTGTGTTTTCTACACTGTCCACGCCAAGCAACAGTAGAACAGGGTTCTCTGTGACCAGCTGCTAGGTTATGTAATGGTTCTTAGAATAGAACTGTGATTTCTGTGTGATCCATCCTGTGGCTATATAACAAGATTCTAGGAGTAACCAAGGCAGTGACCTGTGTAGAGGCGGGATCAAATACCTCCACCGTGACCTTGCAAGTCATAGGAGGCGATTAGAAGGGAAATCTTAAATCTGAGACAGTGAAATATGGTTCTTAGTCCCAAGGGACTAGGACCTGAGAAAGACTGTGTTGGCAAGGACCAGCACATATACAAAAGTCAGACCCATCCTCTCATAAGACAGGGCATGCCATAAAAACATGAGCATAGCTGTCAAACGGTGGTAAATAACCGATTATGAGCCCCACATGGGTCTTGACATCAATACTTACTTACTTACTGACTGACTGACTGACTGACCGACCGACCGACAGACTGACCGTCAGTCACAATGTAACTTCAACTTTGACTTGACCAAGGCGGTGACAGTGACAGTGACAGTGACAGAGTTCTGAGTTCCTGGCGGAAAGTTCATTGTGTGAAGACCTTGTGTGATTAGAAGACTTCAGTCATGCATAAAACAGGGATGTGTGATTTAGTGAGACTGTAGTAGTTCCTGTGTTTTAACTGCATTACCAGGAGAGGACTAGTGTGCAACAGTGAATTATGAAGTGTAGAAATAGCGATAGAGCTATAATAAATGTTAATTACAGGTGGTGTGTATTTTTCCCTCTCATTCCCACTTTGGAGAACAGGGCTCTTCTCAGTCTCAATGATCATTTTTACAGATGGTAGGACTCCTTGGACAGGTGATTAGCTCATCACAAGGCCTCTACCTAAACACAGGACAACACAAACACGGAATATCACATACACACCAAACAACCATGCCTTGTGTGGGATTCGAACCCATGATCGCAGCTTCTGAGTGAGCGAAGACAGTACATGCCTCAGACCACTTGGCTGGTGAGGTGTATATGGATATAAGGCATAAATAAACCCATCCATCCAATCCAGAATCCACATTATTAGTCATCTATACATGTGACAATAAAATGCATGCTCTCTCACGGGTCAATACAGTGCAGTTAAGAGACTGGTTCTTCTTATCCATGGGTGCTGGTTGCACATGCCTGATCCAAGTAATGGATACATTTAATGCTGTCAGCATTTTCATTACAGCTTAGTTGAGATATAACAACACAGCCAAATCTAACATGACTTGAAGCAATACACTCTCTCCCCCTGTCATTTAAAACAGGAAACTTTAACATTTCTCAAATGTCACACAAGGGTGGTTCAAAGTTAACCCAGGCTTTATTCTTTTTCTGACAACATGGGCACCACAAAAATAAAAAACCCTTTTACGGACAGGAATCACTGCCTGGCTGGTGGCCATGTGTCCTGTTTCTGCATATATGAGCTAGTATAAGATGGTGCCAGACCTTGTCACTCCTATGTAGAAGAGCAACGTATCATTACATTCCCACTAAAAGTGAAACAAAAGAAATTCTTCATAGCCTAAATGCACATGTTCAAGTGCCTATCATAGGTAGTGTAAGTTTCTGAAGGACACAAAAATTCAAGATACAGCTGTCAGCTGGTAAGATCATGTGTGTTTTGGAATTCAAGAGTGATTCGTTCTGATTTTCATCCACATAGTGTAACAATTAATGCACAGCATTGCATAAACTTGCTTCACAATTATGTGCAGCAATTGATAAAGAAGAAAAGACTTGAGAAACCGTAAAAGACCTTCCAACTGCACAACAACACTCATTCATATATGGCAAATTAGATGAAGACAATGTTAGCAACAATGGGCTGTGAAGTTATGAACCACACAGCTGCTGCAGCCTCCAGCAATTTTAATTTGTTTGGACCACTGACGGTATACCTATGTGAACAGAACTCTAAAGCCAATAATAAACTCAAAGTGGCTACGCTATCAGGATAAAACATTTTATGCTGCTGGCATCAGTAACTTGCCAAACCATGGGACAAATGTGTCAGTGTAGAGGAAGAGCATCTTGAAAAGGGGATAGATTCTGGCAGTTTTGGCACGCATGTTCTTTTTGTAAAAATATATAAACAAATAAAAATAAAGTCCAGGCCAATTGTGAACCACCTACATATATACACCAAAGAAATCCCTTAACATGTAATAGAGGGTGGCATTATGAAATCTCATTTCTTTATTATGTTTGGAATGCTGGAAACCATGCTCAACTCCTTCAGTCACATCTGTAACTTGAGTAATGGCTGGTGAGATGGAAGTTGGTGACACAAGTCTTTAGCTTAGCAAATGGTCAGGATGCACTTCAGTACAAGACAGAAAAGTTACATTTCTTATATACACTAGAAAGCACAGAGAGACAATATGATAACGTTCTTCAGACTCTGTGCATGACAGGCCTGTTTTGATGTACATAAACATATATGGCATACTGTTTGCAAACAAAACAAGGAGGTAACTGACTTACTTTTCTCTTCTCTTGTCTCTTCGAGGTTCTCAAGACCTTCAATGTCTCCCTCAGGACGGTCTAGGCCTGGATGGTTGTTGAACAGATTAGCAACAAATGCCAAGTTGAGTTTGTAAATGCCATTCACAACATCATTGGGTGTCACAAAGCTTCGACAACCCAATTTTGCAGCTTGTTGCAACATGATTTCAGCTCTATTCAAGTGATTTTGTTCCTAAAGATATCATTAATAAATTTAGCAACAAATATTAAATTAATCTTCATAAATAAAAATGAGTTACACAACTAAGGAATAAAGTGGCTTCATGCTAATCTGACTAATGTCAGCAATTCAAGCATTGTACTGTGATGGATTATATGTAATAAGAATGTCTGTAACTTTTTGTTTGCAGTAACTGACCTCTTCACCTAGCAGATCATATGTTCCTGAAGTTATACATGAATAACAGCATGAAACCAGGTCCTATGCCAATAGGAACACACATCAACAAAATATGTTTTGATAATGCAAACGTTTCAACACACCCCAAAGAGGATAACAACAGAAAAATGAAAGTCAAAGAAAATGATGTGGTTGATTAATCCAAGAAACTAGTGTCTCTGAAGCGTCCACTTTTAGAGCTACAAAAATACTGACAATTATTTCATCTATACAGAAAATCAGCATAGAGCCAGTACTGAAAATTACACTTTTACTGGCTTTTTTTAGGAACACTTATACTTGTACAGCTGGCCTTCAGGTATTGTCTATGTTCCTTGAAGCCTCCTTTCATCTAAGTGGTATATCAACCCACACAAGTGTCAACACTAGATGGACCATGAGTCCTACAATCACTTATGACACAGAGCACTACATGGAATGTAAAGAGTTACCATGCATCTTCAGTGCATTAACATTTACCACATAAAACAAATACAGGCCTCATGAACAATGTTCAATAAACTGAGAAGCAGCAAAAACTTTTGGATACATCCAATTGAAGTTTTACGGATGGTTAGAGAAATCCTGAAGTGATATTTGGGCAAACTATCATCTTCTGGCCTTTTACCATGTTTGAAGCAATTATGATGCTGTGGACCCGCAAAACCAAACAACCATCTGCCACTACCACTGCCACCATCGTTAAATACTTAAATATCCCAGACAAGTTGTTCAACTCTGTTTGTAGTACCAATTACAGGGAAATATTAAATATTCTAGAAAATTACTGATTAAAAGTGATATTACAGTGGACCCTAAGCACACTGCAGATTTGGGTACACTGCGGCAGTGACCATGACCCCCAGTACAATTACATGCTTTATGTCATACAAATTTCTACGAAATATTTTGGTTACATTATAAGATTGTACAGTAGTAAGTATTATGTTCTGTAAAAATGCACTCATCAGATCCAACAAACTACACTACATGACTATCTTCATAAGGAAGCATAAACATAAATAATTTGGTGGTCTGTGCAAGTGGGACTGGTGAAACATAAAAGTCTGAAATGCAGAATTTCATGTATTTGAGTTTCTTCTGGAAATATTACACACACACACACACGCACGCACGCACGCACGCACGCACGCGCACACACACACACACACATTAGGAATTCCAAAGTTACGAGTAAATAAATGACAATTTCACATATAACATGGGTCCCCTGAAATCTGCTACAGATCAAGGGTCCACTGAATACACGTTTCGACAATTATTGCCACTATCAGGCTTTTCCAAACTGGTCATATACTAGCTATACCAAACCACGAAATTCAAGTACTTACCAGAAGAGCCTCTAGTGTAACATTACTGTCCTGTGGTGCTATTTGTTGCAGCAAATGTGAGTAAATTTCAGAGTCTGAGATGTCACTTTGGAAGTTGTTGCAGCGCCTGGAATATATGTATTTATACCCATGAGCTGTTGTATCAAAATAAGGAGTTCGCTAAAATGCACAGAAGTTATGGTATCTTACCTGGCTACACCTGCTCTTTCCAAATGATGGTTAACCCATCGTAACAGTATTGCTTCTGGTGAAAGTTTCATTAAGTCTTCAATGCGCTCCCCATCCAAAAGAAGAGTGGTTAATCCAGGACAGTTTTCTAGTGTGATCTGATTGAACAGCCCTATCTGAAATATAATATTATATAGTACGTGAAGAGCCAATGCAATTTAGTTGACTTTAAACCTACCACCAACATACCATTACAGTTTCCTTCGATTAATAATCCTTTACGTATACTAATAAACAAAAGCTTGGAAGTTACAGTGTAAAAGATACTGCACATCTAACACATGAACTAATATTTTGATACAGTCACCAAGGCGTACAAGCTGTCATTTTTAGTTCAGTCAACTAAAGCAATGCTGTAAATAATCCTATCCATGTTGAACATTTACACAATCCTATAAAGTAAAAGTAAAGCTATCCCTGTAACAGGCCGTGAAGGCCCATAGGGTTGTGAGACGTTGAGGGTCCCACATTATCTAGACAATTGGTTCAAAGATGGCGGTAAGGTTGTCAGCTTCACTCCCCAGGAAAATTATTTAATTAATTCCTGGTACTCATTTCTGTTAGAGGCTGAGTAAACCCCCAGGGCCTAGTGCGACCGGAAGGATTAGGTCAATTGAAAAAAATCCAATAACTTCATCGGGACTTGAACCCGCGACCTTCCGGCTTGTAGCATAGTACCTTAACCACTATGCTACCGCGTACCCCACACAATCCTATACAAGATCAATACAACATAGTGATGATGAAATGAAGCAAAAAGGCGAGAAAATTCCCATTTGCCTATAATTTCTTTATTTCATATTTTCAGTCAACACATCAATCTATGAGAGTATACAAACGACCTATTTACAATGAGGTCATGCATCTATGGCACTTTTCCCTCAGTGAACCAGCTAACACATTGTTAAGTAACAATCTGTTTACACCTTGAAACTACCACTTTCCATGCTAATTTTTGCTGAAACTTGACGTCATGAAAGAATACTGTCAACTGCTTCCAAAAATATGTTTGTCCAATTTTGGGTGAGAATTACTACCTGGGTCTAGGGCCAAAATATCAATTTTTCAGTCTGTCCATGTCTCACTTCAAGCTGATTTTCCATGGACATACGTATGTAAGTGTGACACAAACCACTATAAATCTGTCAGGGTGTGCAAACAGGTCAATCTTTTTAAAATACTTGCCTGATTGCTGATTTTACCCTATTGCAGAAAACAAGAAAATATTTCTGGTAACCAATTTCCTGTAAGTTAATCAGCCATTCAATTAGCTATGTATTAATGATTTCAACTTGACTGTCAGGAATAAGAGCAATGCACTTACTTCTAAAACTGTATTTGTATATAATAATCCTTTTCTTACAATTCTTCCGTGTTGCAGAAAGTACAGAAAGAGAATATGAAATCATTGAACTCTTACAGTTCTGCTCACACTCCAAAGCATGTGGTGAGAATGTTCAATCCACAATAATGCAAGAGTTAAAAAAATCAATATTCATGCATGAGGCAAGTTTTTGCTGCAGTAAAAATTTACATCTGGGTCTGCTGCAGTCCTGCAGGCAGTTGACTTTAAGCTTTATTCTTTGTTCGGATACATTGAACTGTGATGTTGAAAACAGAACATTTTAAGTTGTTTCCCTGCTATCTTCTCAGTTGTGTTCACTACACTAAGGCAGATATAGCTTCACAGACACAGGAAACTCATTTCACGACTGCACAGAATGACAATTACGTACTGATAAAGGAATGCTTGGAAAATTTCTTCTAAAAATGTCATACTGACAATCTTTATGCAAGAGATTTTACACAAATTCAAATATTTGCATATACTCACTAGGACATTCCAGTAGTAAATTCAGTTCTTATACTCCATAAAATTAACTCTTATGCAAACCATTCCGGACAAAGATGTTACAAAACTGACAAGTCAGCAAGCATTAAGTTTATGACTAATTCCTTTAGGGGTTGTTACCCCTTATCATGGAACTCATTTTCAAATGCTGACTTCGTCTAAACTTTCTGTTTCTACATGCATTATGAAAGGAGCAGACAGGAATGGTTACGAAGATTAGTGACAATAAGCTAACATCTATAATCCTGAAAGGCTTTCAACCTGTAGTCTGCCTTTCTAATGATGTACCACAACAATTTACTTCATGTCACTGATTTCAAATGCAGTTCATAATGATAATCTAATCTGGTTATCAAAGATTACTTACCCTAATAATTTGCCAGAGGAGGCCCAAAACAAGATGTGGTTTGCCTTTTGCTAAATCATGAGCATCAATATTAACTATGTTACACCCAATGGCTTGTGATGAAACCAAAGCAAGAGTTAAATTTTCATGTTTTGTATACAAAGTCAGATTCTTTTTGTTGATTGCACGTTCGTCTATTGTATCTGGACATGAATGATTGATGATTTTGCTGAAAAAAAGATGCAATCAATCCTAGAGCTCATAACAGTTCAAATGCACATTACATTTCAATTGCAGAACAATTTCTTAGGACTGTAAACACCTTTCATGTTTAAGAGCAAACACTTGAACTCCCCCCCCCCAGATTAATAAAACTGTGAATACAAAATAAAAAAAATGGTGCAAAGACACTGCACACACTTTCTCACATATGACCAACACTGATTACATTACTTCAGAAATGAGACCAACTACTGTTCAGTAGACCAGTGTCGGTTACTGAATACTGAAAAATGAAATCCATCTGACCAGTAAAGTTGGTTCTGACAAAATCAACATTTGAATCTAGGCTCCTAGTGTGCATACCATCATTTTGAGGCCACCGCCCCTTGCAGTTTTAATTCGGGAGAGGGCCTCCAAAAACCACAAAAATTTAATCAAAATCATTAGTAATTTTAGAGGAAGTCGGTATTTTGTTTTTGGGACCAATATGATGGGCCTTATTTTTAGGCAAGAATCTTCATATACTTATATACCTAGCACCAACCTACGATGGATAACTCTGGAATACCGAATATAAATAACATCTTTCAGAATATTCAGGTGAGAGTGGGACACTCAACCATCCATACGCATAAACACACACAGATAAAGGACATACCAGAAACCACTATTTCATATTCAGGAGGACTCAAAATGTGTAACTCTTTAACAAAATCTCAAGACTGGTTTTTCTTCGTCACAATACTTTCTCATATGTACTACATACAAGAAAAAGCAAAAAACCACAGTAATAAAATGGAATTATTGAAGTGAAATACATTGCTGAAGAAAAATTACAGAATTTGAAGTTCAAAACCCACTGCCTTATCCTTGTTGCACCTCTTCCATCCACAGTTGCATTAAAATATTTAAGAGGTGTGCCAACGACTGTACCTTGTCTTGCAACATTTGGTGTTTTTGCTTCCAGCCCTGCAAAATGTTTCACTGCCTGTCAACATCAAGCCACATGAGCACATGTGAGGTTAGCTGCAGATTGAGGCTTTCTCATCTAATATTCAATGACATAGCTATATCAACCATTTCTTTTACTCATTTACTGGATGGATATTAAATAATTTCATAAACAAACAGGCTTCCTTGAAATTTTGCTTGTCTGTTCATGGTTTATTTAAGGATGCAATCAGTATCTTAGACTACACAGTTTTGAATAATATGATGATTTAATGAATAATGAATTTGAAAGGAAGCAGAAATGAACAGTTATGGCATAATTTGAGGTACCAAAGAGCTGTTGATGAAAATAATGTAATCTTATGGATATGGACCATTCAAATATTTCAATATAGAGAAGAACAGGCCTGTTTAAATAAAACACTGTGATGTGTTGCAAGAACTTCATTCTCAAATTGTGAATGAGAATGCAGTGCTCATGCGAGAGTTTTTACACCACTGGCATTTTGATTTCACAAGGAGTGAATGCCAGCTCTTCAATAAACATAAATATTTCCAAGTCTTTGGTTGAAATTTAACTTAATTTCTTTAATGTTATATCTGCTTAATAAAAGAAAACTCCCTGATTTTAGACTGCAAGTGAACTATACTGAACGAGCGACCGCTGCTTGTCAGTGAAGTTTAGTGTCAACTTTTGCGGATAGAGGGTGTTGTGTGGTCAGTGCAAGGAATCCCCACGGCCGTTAATTTCGGTTTTCTAGACTGGAGCCGCTTTTTCCTTGAAATAGCTGCTCAATTATCATCACAAGGCTGAGTGGACCCCGTTCCAGACCCACTACTTCTCCGAAAAAATCTGGTAGCACCGGGAATCGAACCCGGACCATCTGCTTAATATATCAGAAATAATAGCAACATTATGTCATCCATAATTTGCAATAATTAAAAAAGTGAATTCAGTTTGTGCTATCAAGATAGTAAATCCTTTTCAAATAAGTGCATGGATGGAGTTTGTTAGTGACCTCTACATTATACCTCCTTGTGAAAGTGCCCGAACAAGAATGATTCTCCTGCTCACATGAATAGGAGTTAATGGATTAATCACCATGCATATAATTAAGACAAAAGTATGCATCCATGCAAGCAAAAATTCAACAGAACAATCTCAACAGTCCAAACATCAAGTCTGGATCAGCTGTAGTAAATTTCAGAATAGTGCCAAATATGCCCTAATTACCAGTGACTGAATCTAATGAATTATAATGAAGAACTGTACTGTTCACCTTCATATTAATATAATGCGTGTGCTCATGAGCACACACTCTGTTCAATGAAAATTTCAGCATTTCACAACGGATTGGTTGGTCTCATTTATTATATATGACATGACTCAGCTTAGGAGGTAAGCAAACTCATCCTAAAAACTGTTATAAAATGATGGAAAAAAAATGAAAACAGATTTTGAGAAACATTACTAAGGAAGATACTGAATACACATGCTGTTTTCATATTACTAAATAATTAACACATAAAGCAGGTGAGAGAAATATTGTGTTAGCAGGTAAGTAGCTATGGCTTGAAACTTCATTGTTTTAATGCTGATCCATATTTAATTTTCAAACCCACCGCCCCCACAAAAACTACACATAACAATGCAAATTCCATAAACGGCTCTTACCAGAGAAGAATTCCATCCTTCACTTTGTCATACAGTGCTTTCCCTTCAGAATCAATGGGCAGGAGATGTTTGAGATCTGGATCTTTGCGTAGATTACTGTTGATCCAATCAGAAAATGCCAGCTGTTCTTCAAGGCGTACTGAATGTGTGGTGCCTTCACTAGAGGCATCAGACATCCCACCTAGTGTTTCTAAGTTTTCTTTCTTTGACACTACCTGCTTGAATTTGCTAGCCACTTCATTCGATTTCAGTTCTAGGCACATCTGTAAATTATGAAGTACTTTAAATTAATTAGAATTAAACAAAACATGCATTCTACAGTATTCTAGGATACCAAGTCTGCTCTTCAAATTTGGAAACCCTTAACTCTACTAGGCATTATACTGAAAATAAATTACAGGGCAGAGGCAACATGACAACTCCATTCTGAGAAAATATCACTCCCTTATACTGAAAAACTGGAGAACTAATTACCAGCACTTGAGATTAAGTAACAATATAACACAAATCTGAGACTTTCATGACAGTGAAGATTAGATTGTGGATTTATATGACACCATTAAGTCTGGTATATAGTTACTAAAGTTTTGGAGGAACCTGTTGCTTACATTTTCAATGACAGAAGTGAAAATCATAAACCATACATGTGGTCTGACAATAAAGTTCGCGAACTCACCACGGTAAAAGTGCTACATACCTCATTGCTGAATATCACTGTAGTTGCCTTCAAAGTATTCTCCTTGGGAAGCTATACACTGATGCCAGCGCCTAGTCCACCCTTCAAAACAATTTTGGAAATGGTTTTGTGGAATGGTCTTCAGAGCTGCCATCGCATTACTCGTGATGTCATCAATGTCATCAAAATACCTTCATTTCAATATTTCACTTCAGTGAATAGGTAGGGTGTTCCAGCACAGTTATTTGTTTACTAGGTAAAATGTCCCTCACAGAAAGTGCCATGCGAGCAGGTACACTGTCGTGATTCAAGATCCATGAGTTGTAGGCATAAAGTTCAGGTTGTTTCTAACTCTTTTTCACACAGCCATTTTCAGTACTTCCAAATAGTAAACTTGGTTGACTGTCCAGTTAGTGCAAACTCATGATGAACAACCCTTCTAATATAAATAAATTAGCAACATTGTTTTGACTCTTGATGTGGACTGATGAAACTTTTTGTCGTGGAGAACTGGCAGTCTTCCATGCACTTTGCCGCTTTGTTTCAGGGTCTATTGTAGACCCATGTTTCATCACCTGTGATGACACAGCCCAAAATGTCTTGGAAAATGTTGACTCTTCTTTGCTTTTGTTCTTCAGTGAGCTCCTTTGGGGCCATTTTTGCACACACCTTCCTCCTCTCAAGACCTTCAGCTAAAATTTTCCTGTTTCTTTGTCGATGTTCACTTGCTGAAGTCAGACAAGTCAGACGGCAAATTTTACACACAATCTGACAAACTTTTGCAATGTTTTCTTCAGTTCTGCTGGTTACTGGCCATCCTGATCTCTTTTCATCAGTGACACTTTACCTGTCCTCAGCAAAACGTGTCACCCTCTTGTTAGCTGCCGGTTTCTTCATAGCATTATCCCCGTAAACTTGCATTAACATCTTTCTGATTTCTCTTCCACTCTTGCCAAGTTTAACAATAAATTTGATGTTTGATAATTGCTGTAATTCAAGCTCCAACATTCTTATGATGGCATACCAAAGACACTCAGACAATAATATATGCCACTCAGAAAGAGACTGCCATAGATCAACAACAACACAGCTGTGAAATGCTGATATGCCAACATCATCAAACCATATTGAGGTTTCTGTCCACTGTTACCACGGCAAGCACACGGGGCGCGAGTTCACGAATGTTATTGTCAGACCTCATATTATAATTTAATTTATTAATTAAAATTAAATAAAATGTTCAAGAAACGAAACATGTTCAACATTCTGAGCAGCTGGACAAGGGGCTAACTTAGATAAATTCTTCAGCCGCTATTTTGGATTTCAAAAGATCTTACTGATATTCCATGAAGTGCTGCTTAACTGTTTAAGCAATGCACAGTGATCAAAAAACACAGATGAAGACCACATACGAATTGCAATGCTCTCAATGAAAGTTAAACACATAAAATCAATTATATATCCACATCTCATGAAATAAGGTCTCACTGTGATTGTATTTCTTAAGGAATGTTATAAGGCTGAATAAATTTTTGGTCCTCAGAATTTGCAAATAGGAAAATACAAAATTCAAGCTCCAGGAAACAAGAAAACATGGAATATATCACATAATCATGAATCAATAAAGCCAATACTCACTGAAATTTGGAAATATGGTGTATCTGAAACAAATTACATGATCAGGAACCCAACAAAATACAAGGTGGTTCAAATATGACCGGGACTGATTTTTTTTTAACCAAAATTGCCAAACACTTACTTGCACATGTCAGTCTTCAACGTACTCCCCTCCACAACTCATTTTGTCCAACGTTCTGGAAGCATCCTGATGCCCTTTTCAAAAAAAAGTCTTGTGGTTGGTGGCGTATCCACTCCTGAACATTCTGGATGACGGCGTCATCCACAATCCGCATGCCTTGCAAGTCTGATTTGAGCCTTCCGAACAGGTAGAAATCACTTGGTGCCAAATCGGGACTGTACAGTGGATGTGTCAGAAGGTTCCATTTCAATTTCCGGAGGGTTTCCATTGTTGTTTTGGCCATATGGGGGCGTGCATTGTCTTGAAGGAAGGCTACCTGCTTTCCACCTCTCTTCCACTTGGATCGGATCTTTTCCTTCATATCTGTTGCCAGGAGGTATGAGTAATAAGCTGCATTGACTGTTCTGGCATCTGTCAGAAAGTCTACATGGATAACCCCCTGCTAGGCCCNTTGCGATAGTGCAGGTGGTATTTCACGATGTCTTCTACACTACCAACACTGATGGACAGCATTGCTCCAAGTTCCTTGATAGTGATGTGCCTATTCTCATGAGTAAGTGCGTCTGCACGATCAATGTTTGGCTTGGTGAAGGAGGTTCGCGGCTGACGATCATGCGCTTCATTCTCCACGTGCTCTCTGCCCTCTCTGAAGCACTTACACCACTCAAACACACGGGTCCATGAGAGACACTCTTCCCCATACTGCTGTTGGAGTCTGTGGTGAATTTCAGCGGACGGACGTTTTCTCCGAGGAATTTGATCACAATGCGTTGTTCCAC